TTCCTTCCCCCTCTTTCTCTCTCTAGTCAAATGAGACAATAATAATAAATAAAATAAAATAAAATAATTTTTTTTGGAGAGATTTTTGCTCTAGGGCACATGCACTCACCAGAAAGACAGAGACAGAGAAACAGAAAGTGAGAAATCACCCCCCAGAGGGGATGGCCATGCCGCAATCCCTTCTCCTCCATTCTCCTCTCGGGATCTTGGGCATGCATGCACACGCGCCCGGCATGAGTTTAAACCACCGGGTCCAAAACTCGAACCGTGGTTGACCACATGGGAGTCCAGCGACATAGCCAATATGCCAACTGCTGGTCCCAAAATAAATAATTCTTAAAAAAAAAGAAAAAGAAAAAAAAAAGAAAATGTAAAGTTCTACTGATAGAGAAACATGACCGTGAAAGTATAGTACATTTTCTCTGGAATATTGTACCAGAATTATAATATTAAGTTAATGATTCAAGATGAATTCCACTGGCCAAATCCTACCCAGAGTTTTGAGAGGCCAGGTCTCCAGGAAGCAGGCAGGCTGCTATCTTCTCACTTGATTTGAGGATAAGGCAGTCCCAGGTAATGAGATTATGACGTGACGTGATGTGCACAGGAGCTGTTTACAGGCTAAGAATTGCAAAGACAGGCACATGCCCAGGGGTCACTCCTGAAGTCTAACAGATTCCCATGGAGGTTAAAAGAATCTATGCAGACTTACAAACAAACAAACAAAAAAAAACTGTCATCAGATAGAGGAGAAAACAACAAAAAAAAATCCACCATATCACTTGGTGTTTATTTGCATGTCGATGCCCAGAATTCTCTGTAGCTCACCACGTCTTCAGAAGGCTGAAGGGAGTTTTGTGACATGGTTTGGCATTATTGGGGAGGGGGAGGGAGTGGAGGGCGCTGATTCCTTTCTCTGTCCTTGAGTGTTTTACTGCCAGGAAATCCTGCCCAGCGTTGATTGCCAAGGGGTTAAAGTCACATTGTTGTTAAATTGGGAGAGAAAATTAGCAGGATTTGTGTGCCCTGTGCTCAGCTATCCCAGGGTTTCAAAAACAGGAACCTGGGGCTTTATATGAGGGGACAGGGGAAGTAAAGGGGAAGAGTCACAAGGGTGACTTGTCAGGGCATGGTTCCAGATCAACTGCTTACACGAGGTGGAAGAATTTCATGCCTACGTTCTGTGCCAAGAAGCCAAGCGGGTGAGCAGCAGCTCATCCAAACGCTCAAGCAGGCGGTTCTGGGCGCCATCTTTGCTGTGTGTGGAGAAGTGTTCATTTTTTATACGTGTTATTTATGTACATGCTTGTGTGATTGGACCCTTCATGTGTCCCTGCTGCCATAGTCTCATGGAAGTAAAAAAAAAAAAAAAGAAAGAAAAGAAAAGAAAGAAAGAAAGAAAATCCAGTATTGGGACCAGCAGGTAGCATAATAGTTATATGTGGTTCAAGTCCCGGACCCGGTGGCTTAAAACTCACACCAGGTGCATGTGCGTGTGTGCCCAAGATCCTGAGAGGAGAATGGAAAGAAAGGCATTCCAAGATCCTGAGAGGAGAATGGGGAGAAAGGCATTGCGGCATGGCCATGCCCCCTAAAGGGTGATTTCTTGCTTTGTAGCTATCTCTCTCTGTCTCCCTGGTGAGTCCATATGCCCTATATTTAAAAACTCTCTTAAGAAACAAAACAAGGGACCAGCAGTTGGTGTAATGGCTATGTCACTGAACTCCCATGTAGCCAACCACGGTTCAAGACCCTGATGAACTGGCTTAAACTCACGCCGGGCGCATGTGTGTGCGTGCCCAAGATCCCGAGAGGAGAATGGAGGAGAAGGGATTGTGGCGTGGTCATCCCCCCTGGGGGGTGATTTCTCGCTTTCTGTCTCTCTGTCTCTCTCTGTCTTTCTGGCGAGCACACATGCCCTATAGCAAGAACCTCTCAAAAAGAAAAAAAAAAAAAAAAAGAAACAAACAAACAAACAAAACAAAACACAGTATTTCACTCATCTAAGTTACAGTAGTCTCAAAGACAGAAAAAAAATTCATTTTCTCTTTGTCCTGTGAAGGCAGCATTATCCATTCAAATTTTTCTGATGATTAGAATCTGACATTCGGGAACAACCACAGTAAATTGTAATTCGTGTGCTGACTCTGCTTTATTTTTTGTTCTTTTTTTGCTATACAATATGCATAGTCAGACAGAGAGAGCGAGAGAGAAACTGAGAAATCACTTCCAGGGGGGGATGGCCACACCACAATCCCTTTTCCCCATTCTCCTCTTGGGATTTTGGACACACACGCCCATGCGTCTGGTATGTTTCCAAGTTGCCAGGTCCAGGACTTGAACCACTTAGTGGGCCATGTGGGACCCAGCTGTCTTAACCTCCACGCCAACTGCTGGGCCCGCCACTGCCCCTTATTTTTTTATCCTCCCATCAGAGATGCCAGTCCTAAAGAGAAAATGAAACAGAACAAAAGCCCAGAAGCAAAAGAAGTAGAAGTTCAGTGAGCTCCTGACTTCCTTGAAGAATTAGAGCCACCAGGCAAACCCTGCTGTTGGCGGTTTGGCTACACAGTATGGTTGAGGTGAAGGTTTTGATAACGAAAGAGAATTTCTTGACCCTGCCTCCACGGCACAGTCAGTAGCATACCAAACTGTGGTGCTGGAATCCACATGACCAATCACGAGTTTAGACCTTGAGTCAACTGGAAAACATGCCGGGTGTGCACACAGGTGCCCAAGGTCCCAGCTAGCTAGAGGGGAAGAGAATCACAGCGTAGCGAGTCCTGTCAAGGGTGCCCTGATCTCTCTCTCTCTCTCTCTCTCTCTCTCTCTCTCTTTCTCTCATGCACATGCACAAGCTCTCTCATGAATGTATCAATAAAAACTAGATACAATTTAAAAGTGAGAATTTCTAGATAACTCCGATAAGTGGTGTTGCCATAAGTGTGCAAGTTTGGAAGTCTGTTCAACATCTAGGAGCCCTTGATGTGAGAGTTCTGTCCTCCAGTGTAGAACGAATTGATTCCCTTGGTGAGAATTATAGACGCAGAGTCTCCAACCTGTGAACCCTGAAGCTGGCTACCTACTGCGGACACTCAGGTTTTCTCCCTTCATCACGTAGGAGAGAATTCCCAGCACCTTGACTTGAAAGAAACTTTACTTTTAGCACAGCAGAAACGTCAGTGTATGTGCATGTTGCATGCACTCACGCTTGTACATATACCCAAATACACACACACACACACACACACACACACACAGCTCTGAGAAATGCAACCAGAATTCCCACCAGAGAAGGGATGGAAACTCCCAGTTTAATCCACTCCCCTCAAATGAGAAATTTGAGACCCAGGGAAGGCAAAGGATTTTCCCTAAGTCACATGGTGAACGACAGAGCCCACATTGGCACCCAGGTGTCTCCACTTTAGCTACGTGACTGGGAGGGAAGGTTAAACCCTCGTATAGTTTGGTATTTCCAACTAGAGCAACTGTCGTCCCTTCATGGAGCAGCCTTGAAGATCTCACGATGACCATGGCTCTTTGGTTAGTTCCACACAACAAAAGAAGGAGAGAATGTTGTGACCAACACAGCATGCTTCCGAAAGCAACCTGTTTCAACTTGAGTCATCGGTGCATGTCTCTTAATGATGATTTGACCCATAGGACAAATACTTTTTCAAATTAGTTCAAAATCCTTTTTATTTTGCCACTTTTTGCAGCATTTATCCATAGACATTCTACACCCACTCTTTCTGAAACAGATGGCTCCCAGTGTATTAAAAAGAGAAATCGACATTTTCTTGGCTCAATCTTTCTAATATGTCTTCAGAATGATTTTTTTTATATATAGTTAAGTGTATTTTATGGGCCCACTGTGTTTCATTTGCACTCTGAGGAGACTTAACCTCAAATGGAAAGGTTACTTTGTGTTCAAGTGGGGATTTTCAATCCTGAATTGCCGAAATATTTTTTTTATTAAAAGTAGGTTAAAAAGGTACTCCATTGAAAGCCAAGATAAACAACAGACTTAGTACCATTTTGAAAATGAACAATGAGGGGCTGGCCGGTGGCATGGTAGTTAAGGCACTGGACTCCCACATGGGCAACTGTAGTTCAAGTCCCAGACACAGTGACTTTCTTTCTCTTTCTTTCTCTCTCTATCTCTCTGGCAAGCACATGGGCCCTATGACAAATTTAAAATAGCAATAATAATAAATAAAATTAAATAAATAATTCTAAAAGAGAGGAGAGAGAGAATCTGTAATAAAGACTCTCCAAACTACAGAAATGGAATCTATTATTTCATCATAAGTAAAGTGTTGCAGTGTAAATTGGAGGGTTAAGAACCAAAATTAGTGAGCTATGTTTGGTCCCAGAAGATAAATGCAAAGGGGGCCAGCAGGTGGCACAGTGCTTAAGGTGCTGGACTCCTACATGGCCAATCATGGTTCAAGTCCTGGACTTGGCGACTTGCTTTCTCATTTTCCCTTTCTATTGCTCTCGTCAAATTAAAAACTAATAATAATAACAAATAAAATAAGATAAATAATTCTTTAAGAAAGGATGAATGCAAATAAGGTAGGAGTATTTTCTCATTATTAAGTATCTTCAACTTTAACAATGTTAGTAGCAAAGCAAATGTGTATTTTTTTAAAAAACCAACACTTTTTTTTTTTTTGAGAGGTTTTTGCTATAGGGCGCGTGTGCTCGTCAGACAGACAGAGACAGAGAGACAGAAAACGAGAAATCACCCCCCGGGGGGATGGCCACGCCGCAATCCCTTCTCCTCCACTCTCCTCTTGGGATCTTGGGCACGCACGCACACGCACCTGGCGTGAGTTTAAGCCACCGGGTCCGGGACTTGAACCATGGTCGACTACGTGGGAGTCCAGCGACATAGCCATTACGCTAACTGCTGGTCCCAAAACCAACACTTCTCTGAACTGGAATGGCATTCGCTGGGAATTAGAACATCTCCAATTCTTTTTCTTTATTTGCAGCCATTTGTTATCTATGACATGAATTCCTTAATGATGGGAGAAGATAAAATCAAGTTCAAACACATCACCCCCCTGCAGGAGCAGAGCAAAGAGGTGGCCATCCGCATCTTCCAGGGCTGCCAGTTCCGCTCCGTGGAGGCCGTGCAGGAGATCACAGAGTACGCCAAGAGCATCCCCGGATTCGTAAACCTTGACTTGAATGACCAAGTAACCCTCCTCAAATACGGAGTGCACGAGATCATCTACACCATGCTGGCCTCCTTAATGAATAAAGACGGGGTTCTCATATCCGAGGGCCAAGGATTCATGACCAGGGAGTTCCTGAAGAGCCTGCGGAAACCTTTTGGTGACTTTATGGAGCCCAAGTTCGAGTTTGCTGTGAAGTTCAACGCACTGGAATTAGATGACAGCGACTTGGCGATATTTATAGCTGTCATTATTCTCAGTGGAGGTAAGATTCAACTTTCGATCTTCTGTAAAAGAGGGTGGGAGGGTGGTGGGAGGACAGAGGATTTTGAGTTGCCTTAGCGTTGGTCTGTGTTACTTTCCATGCTGCGCTTCCTACACACCTCTTCTGGAAAATACCAATGCACAATGCCATGAGCATGTCACCACGTGTGTCAGATAACAGGAGAGGATTATGAAGGCCATGGGGAGACCTGGCCTTCAGGTGCCTGGTGTGCTCAGGAAGGTCCCAGGACACTAACCCAGGACTTTTCCCATGTGAGTGCCATTCCACTACCCTTGTGCCCCTGCCTGGTCTCTAGTTCGTTATTCTTCACAGTGTTTTCTCTGTCGGGTCTACTTATAGAAGACAAATGCCTTTTTTTTCTTTTTTTTTCTTTTTGAGAGGTTTTTGCTATAGGGCGCATGCGCTCACCAGACAGACAGAGACAGAGAGACAGAAAGCAATAAATCACCTCCCGGGGGTATGGCCACGCCCCAATCCCTTCTCCTCCATTCTCCTCTCAGGATCTTGGGCGCACACGCCCAGAGTGAGTTTAAGCCACCGGGTCCAGGGCTCGAACCGCGGTCGACTACATGAGAGTCCAGTGACATAGTCATTACGTCAACTGCTGGTCCCAAGACAAATGCCTTTTTCTCCTTTCTCTTCATGTTCTTGTTCTTTTTCTTTCCAGAAGGCAGACCCATTCTTCAGTTCATTTAAGTAATGTCATGGATAATATTGCTTAAGACCACGCTCTCTGGGTTTGGAAAAGACACTCCTCGTTAGGTGTGTGCGGTCAGAGAGTATTTCTTCCCCGTCAGCACTATAACAGCACTCTCCGCGGCTTTGTAGATATTTCAGGAACCAGTCCCTGTGTCCACTGACCTCCACCTGATTCCTCAGGTCGCTTCCTCCCACGGCTTCCCTCGGCGTCCATCTGTGACACAGCGGGCTGTGATAAGCTGAACCATTATTTCGCCATTGGTTGTATTTGGCCTTGCAAGTATTGGGTCATCGGAAAAGTCATGACTCATGTTCGCACAGAAAACTATAGAAAAATCCATCATGACTTTTCCAATGACCCCACTGTATGATCTAACGATCCAGCTCTGAAAGCCAGTTTGGTACCTGATGTCATTTCATTGGCCTCTCTCTTGTTTCCTAGTTGAGTAGGAGACAGTTTTACTTTCATCCCTTTTTATGAACGTTGTTTCTAAATGATGAGTTTCATATGGGCATGGACTTCATGGGAACTTTCTATACATTTTTTTTGGAGAGATTTTTGTTATAGGGTGTGCGCACTCACCAGAGAGACAGAGACAGAGACAGAAAGCAAGAAATCACCCCCCAAGGGGGATGGCCACGCTGCAATCCCTTCTCCTCCTTTCTCTTCTCGGGATCTTGGGCACACACACAGACACGCCCGGCGTGAGTTTAAGCCACCGGATTGGGGACTCGAACCACAGTCAACTGCATGAGAATTCAGTGACATAGCCATTACGCTAACTGCTGGTTCCACTTTCTATACATTTTTTGAGAGATTTTTGTTATAGAGTGTGTGTGCTCACCAGAGAGACAGAAAACAAAAATTCACCCCTCCCCCCCAAAGGGAATGGCCACACCACAATCCCTTCTCCTCCATTCTCCTCTCAGGATTTTGGGCAGGCACGCGCACACGTACTCAGTCTGTGTTTTAGGCCGCCGGGTGAGAGACTCAAACCACGGTCGACTACACAGGAGTCCAGCAACATAACCATTATGCCATCTGCTGGTCCCATGAGGGTTTTCTATGTATCCCACAGAATACCCTTGTGCATGAAAGCTCACCTGTGGGGGTAGCGGTGCTGCAGGCGTAAACCGAATAACGGTGCAGCGGATTACGGAAGCATGCTCGTTCTCAGTCGGCTGTTGTCCCACTGAGAGCACAAGGGCTCGGAACTCAGGTGTGTAGTTATTAGTGATAAAATTGAGCGAGCACCGATCAGCTACTTCCTCTGCACCCTCAGTGCCCTCAACGCTGCTTACACACTTCAGCCTCACCACCCAGTGAGGTAAGACTTTTACAAATAAGGAACCCGAAGCGCTGAAAGGTTTGCACACTGGTCCATGGTTGCACAGCTAGCAAAAAAAAAAAAATGGAGCCAGGACTGTGAACCCAGGCAGTCTGGCTATGGAATCTGTGCTCTCGACTTCCACCCTATGCAAATGGTGACGCTCCAAACGACCGGGGTGCACCTAGATCAACAAGATGGCACAGGGAAACTGGAGCCATGAGTCCAAGGCCAAGCTGGCTTTCACTTTCAAGGAACTGTTTGATGTTATATTTAATGAAGCAAGAATTAAAGTTAAAATCTTGGAGCCAGGGACCGGCATTTAGCGTAATGGCTATGTCACTGAACTCCCACGTAGTCGACCGCAGTTCGCATCCCAGACCCGGTGGCTTAAAACTCACGCCAGGCGCGTGTGCGTGCGTGCCTAAGATCCTGAGAGGAGAATGGAGGAGAAGGGATTGCGGTGTGGCCATCCCCCCTGGGGGGTGATTTCTCCCTTTCTGTCTCTTTGCCTCTCTATCTGGCGAGCGTTCACACCCTATAGCAAAAACCTCTTAAAAAAAAAAAAAAATCTTGGAGCCAGCAGGTGGCATGGTGGTTAAAGTGCTGGGTCCCACATGGCCAATAGCGTGCTTCAAGTCCTGGACCCGGTAACTTGAAAAACACACCAGGCAAAAATCCTGAAAGGAGGGATCAGCAGATGGTGTCATGGTTACGTAGCTGGATTCTCATGTAGTCGACCACGGTTCAAGTCCCAGACCTAGAGGCTTAACGCTGGGCGCGTGTGTGTGCATGCCCAAAATCCCAAGAGGAGAATGGAAGGGAAGGGATTCCAGCATGGCCATCCCCCGTCTGGGGGGGTGATTTCTCACTTTCTATCTGTCTCCCTCTGTCTCTCTGACGAGCACATGTGCCTTATAAAAATAAATAACTAATCCCAAGAGGAGAAGGAACTGTAGCATGGTCTCCCCGCCCCAGGGGGTAATTTTGCACTTTCTCTCTCTGTCTGTCTTTGGTGAGTGCACGTGCCCTATAGCAAAAAAAATAATAATAATAATAATTAAAACCTGGCTTGTTTTAATATCTCAACCAAATTGGCTTCCTAAATTCACCCTTGACCATCTGGGATCTTTGACTAGTTCAAAAAAGAAGAGATTCCAGGTATATGAGGTTCATTGAAAGAAAAATATTTAACTTTTGAAAAGCTAGATTTCGCTTAACTAGCTAGTATTCATTGAAAGAAAAATATTTAACTTTTGAAAAGCTAGTGATACGGCTTGGCTAGCTAATATTTGAAGGCACATTTGATGTGTTTCTACTGTTTTCCTAAGTGCCACCGTATCACCCATGTCTATATTCTCCTCACTTAATCAGGTTCCCATACGCGGGACCAGCAGTTGGCGTCATGGCTATGTCGCTGGACTCCCATGTAGTTGACCGCGGTTCGAGTCCCGGACCCGGTGGCTTAAACTCACGTCGGGCGCGTGTGCGCGCGTGCTCAAGATCCCGAGAGGAGAATGGAGGAGAAGGGATTGTGGCGTGGCCATCCCCCCTGGGGGGTGATTTCTCGCTTTCTGTAACTCTATTTTTCTCTGTCTCTCTGGTGAGCGCATGCACCCTATAGCAAAAACCTCTCCCCCCCCCAAAAACCAAAATCAGTTTCCTATACTCTTTATTAATATTTTTGCTATTTTTTAATAAAAGTAATGCATGGTAAATTGACAATTCAAAGACAATTGCAGAAAGGTTTAAGTGAAAAGTAAAGATCTTGGGGCTGGATGATGTAGCAGTGGTCAAACATGAAGCTCTGTAAGGCAATTCCTTTCCAGGAATGGGAAGGTTCCTGGTTCAAGTCCAGAGACCTCCCTGGGTACTCCCGTGCACACACTTGTCCACGACCCAGAGCTGGCTGGAAGCAGGGAGTGTGTTGTGGCATCAAGATTCTTTTGAGAGTTGTATCTCTCTTGCTCTCTCTCTTTCAGAAGAAATAAATAAAAAAAGAAAAGAAAAGAAAGATAGAGGTCTTGGCCCTCAGAATAGAACAGGATTAACGAAGTTCTGTGTCTCGTACCAAGAACTTTATTTGCACCGTCACATATGCAAGATTTCAGAAAGTTCCGGAAAAAACTGCAATGAAACTACTAGCTGATCTTGGTGTAAAAAATCACCTGAAATCCGATGCATCATCTTTGCATCACGTGCGTTTTCCGTGAACTTTTTTAAGACCTTCCCCCCCCCCTTTATCATTTCTCAACTGGGTGGGGTGTTTTGGGGTTTTTTTGGTGTGGTTTCTTTTCTGGAGTTTTCAGAAAAGGAAAAACACTTATGTAAGCAGGAGACTGATCTAGTGAACACCTCACTGATCCTTCTCAGTCTTCACGAGCGATCCTCGCTCCTCTGCAGTTTGATGGGGAGTCTGTTCATGGCTTTAGTGAGTTTGGGGAGAAGCGCTCTGGGCCGGGTCCAGTTGCTCTGGGCTGAGTCAATAGCCAGGCCTTAGCCCTTCACATCCCTGAAGGGCTTCGCTCTGGGGAAGGCTTAGAACCCACAGTGAGGAGGACCTGGAGGAGATGGGCACCATGCGGGGTTGTGAGTGGTGAGAAATGGGGGGGGGCGGGATTAAGAAGGAGGGGGGCCCTAAAGATCTTAATTAATCTAAAAGATGTGGGGCCAGCAGTTAGCGTCATGGCTATGTCGCTGAACTCCCATGTAGTCGACCGCAGTTCGAGTCCCGGACCCGGAGGCTTAAACTCACACCGGGCACATGTGCATGTGTGCCCAAGATCCTGAGAGGAGAATGGAGAAGAAGGGATTGCAGCATGGCCATTCTCCCTGGGGGAATGATTTCTCGCTTTCTGTCTCTGTCTCTGTCTTTCTAGAGAGCACACGCGCCCGATAGCAAAAAAACCTCTGCAACAAAAAAAAATGGGGGAGGCATAGAAAGCAACAATA